CCCATAAGTGCTCCCTACCCCACAGTGCTCACCTCAGCTCCATGTTGCACTCATGGGTGCGCCCCTGCCCCATGGTGCCCAGCTCAGCCCCATGCCCTCCTCCCCGGCCAGGATCATCCACCAGGACGGTTACTCGCTGGAGGAATGCCTGGAGTTCATCGCCATCATCTACAGCAACACGCTCCAGTCCATGCTGGCCATCGTGCGGGCCATGAGCACCCTCAACATCCAGTACGGGGACACAGCTCGCCAGGTGAGGAGTACCTCATGCTGGGCAGGGGCATCCCACCCAGCCCCCTGACCCCACTGAGTCCCTCTCCTTTGTAGGACGATGCCCGCAAGCTGCTGCACCTCTCAGACACCATCGAGGAAGGCACCATGCCCAAGGAGATGTCAGACATCATCGGGCGGCTCTGGAAGGACACAGGCATTCAAGCCTGCTACGACCGTGCCTCCGAGTACCAGCTCAACGACTCGGCTGGCTAGTATGTGGGGTGGGGGGAGGGTTTGGGTGGGGAGTGGAGGGTATCTGGAAGTGCCGACCCATGTCTCATGCCCACCGCGTGCCTGGCCAGCTACCTGTCAGACCTGGAGCGCTTGGTGACCCCCGGCTACGTCCCCACAGAGCAGGATGTGCTGCGCTCCCGTGTCAAGACCACTGGCATCATCGAGACCCAGTTCTCCTTCAAAGACCTCAACTTCAGGTGGGGGCTGTGCCCCCGGTGAGGGCTGGTGCCGGGGGGAGGGCAGGGGGCAGGGGGTGCTGACCCCTCCTTGTCCTGCCCAGGATGTTCGATGTGGGTGGTCAGCGCTCAGAGAGAAAGAAGTGGATCCACTGCTTCGAGGGGGTGACCTGCATCATCTTCATCGCAGCCCTCAGCGCCTACGACATGGTCCTGGTGGAGGATGACGAAGTGGTAAGGAAGGCTCAGGACCCCAGAATCCTGGAGTATGGGGACTACCGGGCACCACAGCCACTGTCTCCACGTAGCTGGGGCACAGCAACATGCCGGGGGCCAGAGTTGCTGGGTCCCAGTGTGGGAAGAGGAGATGCCATGGGGAGGGGGACAAACACCATCCAGAGGGGGATGAAGCAGAGGGAGAGGCAGCAACAGACAAGGTCTGCCCCTCCACAAGCTGAGCACAGCCCTTGCAGCTTCGTGCCTCAGTTTCCCCACATGATTATTGAAGAGCAAGTGCTTGCCATGGGGAAGCTGCAGACCACCAGGCAAGCCTAGGAGAAGGGGGCTGTGGGACCAGCATATGTGGCCCTGTGTCCTCCTGGGGGGCTTGGTGGGGGGGAGACAGGACCCTCAAGACAGGACCCAGATGTCCAGGCCATGGCAGGTTGGGGCTAGGCTGGGGTCTTTGGGTGGGGAAGGGAAGAAGGTGCCAAGCTGGGGTAGAACCTCAAGCAGCCACCAGTGCTCACTGCAGCCACAGGTGTTTGGGGCACCCAGCCATCAACTGCCCCCTCAGGGCATCCTGGCAGGGTTGGGGGGTGTAAATATTTGTACATGGGAAGCACAAGGGCAGCTGGGGCTGAGCAAGTGCCCCTCGCTGCAGCCGGGGGCACCCCCAAATAAACACTGGCTTTGGGACAGATGCGGGCGCCTGCGTGTGCTCTGTCAGGGACAGGGAGCAGGCAGGCGGGGACTGCGCTGCTGCCTGGCCCCCTGTCACATAATGCCCCTAACTCTGCCCCTGAGCCCTGCTGAGGGTGCAGAGAGCTGGGCTGGAGCCAGGTGGGGAGCGGAGTGGGCCCTGGGAATGCACTGGGAACACTGGGAAGCCAAGGGCACTGGATGGCATTAAGGGTGCTGGGGGAGGGGGCACTAGTCAGGCTGGAGGGGTCACAGGGAGGTGACAGTACGGGGTGGTACTGCCTGGGTGTTAGGGGTACGTGGGGGTGTATGCTGGGCTAGGCTAGTGGCCAGTACTGGGTGTTTTTGAAGACACTGGGAGCACGCAGAATCAGTACTGGTGGCACTGGGGAAAGTACTGGAGCACTTGGATTTGGTAGTGGAAGTCGATACATGGTGGTACTGGGGGTGTGGGGCAGAAGGGGACTCTACAGGAGGCACTGGGTGTGATAGTGGGTGATACTGGGCTGTACTGGGGGCACTTTGGTCGTGCAGTGGAGAGTAGGGGTGGTACTGCACTCCTCTGGGCAGTCCTGGGGGGCACTGGGGTCAATGCCAGGAGGTCCTGGGCTATGCTGGTGACAGTGCTGGGCACACTGGTGGCAGTGCAGGGCAGTACTGGGAATGGTGGAGTGCTATACTGGAAGTGGTAGAGGGCTGTACTGGGAGCGGTGGAGGGCTGCGCTGGGGACGCTGGGCTGTACTGGGAGCGGTGGAGGGCTGCGCTGGGGACGCTCCCAGCTGTGCTGGGTCCTTTCTCCCCCTGGCGGCCGATGTGGGTGCTGCAGGATCCCCACGGTGCCGGAGGGGGGCACTGGGGATAGCGGGGGGTCGGGACAGGAGGGCACTGGGCTCTACTGGGGCACCTGGGGGATGAGCTCTGGCGGGGCCTGGGGACACTGGGGGCAGAGCGACACAGAGGGGTGCCTGGGGCGTCCCTGGGGACACTAAGTCTTACTGGGGTGGCCACGATGGCAATGGGGGGCACTGGGGACGTGGAAGTGGGGATCTGGTGGCCTAAGAACACTGGGGAGGGGTGCGAAGGGGACAGTAGCGGGGGTTACTGGAATTGCTTGGGGACACCAGGGGGATACTGGGATTTCTCCTTAGGATACTGGGGAGTGTTACTGGGGAGGGTCTAGGGGACCCTGGGGAGCGTACTCAAGCATCCTGGAGGATATTGTGCAGGTGTTGCTGAAGGGGCCTGGGGACACTCCCGGGGGGGTGATACTAAGCTGGCCTGGTGACACTGGGAGTGTACTGGTGGGTGGCTGGGGACACTAAGGAGTGCACCCAGGGGTCTGGGGACGGTGGAGGGTCCTGGAAGGAGCCTGGGGACACGGGGTGGAGTGACTGGAGCTGGCATTCGGTCACTGTGGGGGGATGCCCTCGGGGACACCGGGCACAGGAACCTGGGGACACTGGGACAGCTTGCTGTGGGGGCTGTGGCTAC